ACTGGGTTGGCCATGTCTCTGTGCGCCTCTGCTCTCTCCTACCCAGGAGCTATATGTACAAGACAGGCAATGAAGAGTGGACTAGGCAATTGGCAACCCTTTGTCTACAGAGGTGGGAAAAAAATTCACCCTGCAGTGTCTGAAGTGAAATCTGATACCAGAAACTAGGGCCACACAAGCTTGGACTCTCCATCTCGAGGCATTATTTGAACTCATCGATTTCTAGCCTGTTCTCCCCCCCCCCATCCTAGCCTCTCAAGCTGTGTAATGCCTAACCTGACAAAGGGTCTTGCTGGGCGGAAAAGGTCACCAATGTTTAATCATCTACTGGTCCAATAAAGGTCTTACCCAACCTTGTTTTGGAAATATGTTGAAAGAGCACACAACATTTTCCCCTTCTCTTTTTCATAGCTTGAGGTTCAGTCTTCACACCAGTTTTCCAGGAGTCAGAAGTCATAATTTTGACAGCTATGTATACACCTCTTTCCTACAGCTCTTCAGGACCTTTGTGACGTTACTGCCCTGAGAAGGACTGAGAAAGTGGCAGAATGTAGACCCATCTTCATCCTGCAGGTAGAATCAGGAAAGACTGTGGACTCAAACAGTGGAGAACCGTTGCCAATCAAGGTAGAGTAGCTTTCTCTGCCTGGTGTCCTCAAGAGGTATGTGGTTACAACTCCCATTCCATTGGCTGTGCTGGCCGGGGATGGGTGAGGGAGGTGCTGAGCTACTAAATGGGCTGGAGGTCTGACTCCTATGTTTTCAGTGCACACAGATGTATGCGTGTATGCATGTGTGTGCACACTGGGGATGGGTGAGGGAGGTGCTGAGCTAAATGGGCTGGAGGTCTGACTCCTATGTTTTCAGTGCACACAGATGTATGCGTGTATGCATGTGTGTGCACACGCATACACACCCACCCACTATCAAATCAATTCTGACTTACGGTGATTCTTTTTCAGGGTTTTCTAAGTAGAAAATACTCAGAGTGGTTTGCCATTCTCTTCTTCTAGGGGCATCCTGGGACTGTGCAGCTTGCCTAAAGTTACGCAGGCTGGGTTCTTCTCTCAGGAGGCACAGTGGGGAAATGAACTCCCAGCCTCTGGTTCTGCAGTCAGATACCAAAACCACTGAGCTATCCAGCCAGCTAGTTCTGAATATATAAAAGCAGAGCACAATCCATTCAGTGGCTTCTACTGGCTTATTCTCTTCTCCCTATAGTCCAGTAGAATTAGCAGATACCTAACGGGGAAGAGCTCCCATCGCTTGTTCCAGCTCCTGCCAACCTAGCAGTTCGAAAGCAAGTAAATGCAAGTAGATAAATAGGTACCACCTCGGTGGGAAGGTAACAGCATTCCATGTCTAATCACGTTAGCCATGAGAACACGGAAACTGTCTACGGACAAACGCTGGCTCCATGGCTATGAGCACTGCCCCCTAGAGTCAGACACAACTGGACTAAATGTCAAGGGGAAGCTTTACCTAACAGGGAAGAAACAGGACCACCTCAAGATGTTTCTGCCTAAGGCAAAAGACAAAATGGCACTCCATAGAAGTTAACGGGACTGGCATTTCCATCTTACCAACCATGGTGACAAGACAGGACCCAAGGAGAATGGGCTTGCTTAGGGGGCAGGGGGCAGGACATGCAGCAGATATAACTCTGTCTTCCTAGAGGTCGCTGCTCACTGCCCCTTTACTATCTGCTGCCTGAGGCAGCTGCCTCACTCTGATTAGTGGCAGGGCCACCCATGGGGAAAAAAAAACAAGAACAAGTTGCAGAGAAGGATCAGCATGAGCCACTTGTTGATATTTTATTTGGTTTTAGAGCTACTGCCATCTGACCTACCCCCCACTTGTTTTCATTGAACCATGGACTTGCTTTCTTGCCTTCTCTTGCCACCACAGTGACTGAGGCCTTCAAAGGATGGTGCTGAAAGTAATGTAGTCAACCCTGGCACACGTAGAAGAATGGCTTTGCTAACTGCTTTGGTGGCAGGGGCTCACAATGCTCCTCCAAGGTTTGTGAAAAGGAATTGAAAGAGGTTCAGGGTTCAGCTCCATGGAAGATCTCAGGCCATTTTCAATCCAACTTCTGAGGAAGGAAAGTTAAAAATAAACACTTTAAAAGAGGAGGAAGAGGATGATTGTCCCCTATTTGAGTTCTCCAAGAAAAGCTACAAAGGGATCTTTCTTGGTTTCAAGGGTACAATGGTTTTGTACATGCAAAATAAAGTCATACTTGATTCTATTAAGATGCAAGCACAAGAAACACCTATCTTCTCCAAGACAGGGCTTTGGATATGTTTCTAGGAAAATATTTCTTTGCTTCTGTAAATTTGCTTCTTGCATTTACATTGCATACAGGATGTGAATGTAATTGCTAATAAAAATGACCTTAATAGAGATGGCTCTTGAGTAATTTCTGGTTTCCAGACAATCCCATCACATCTTAATGCCTTCTTATGAAATAATATTTCCCCCCCGCTGGCTAGGATTGAAAGTTAGACCTATGAAAAAGGAGGAGGAGAAGCATCCAGTAATGATAACAATTTCAAACATTAAGAAATAAATCATATGCTCTCTCTGTAATTAATTGAAAGCTTAACAATGCATGTTTTTTAACCTACATTAATATAATTATAATTACTTAGAGAAGCAAAGTTTTACACTGTATATGCCACACCTCACAGCAGTACCAGCAACAAAACAGACAATGCAAGTGATAGTGGACATGGAATCATATATGTAGCCATATATTGTAGGCATTAATGCATGATATGTTTTCCAAGCCTAACCAACCCTGCTGAGCTTTGGTGTGATGGAGGACTTGTAAATAAATTAAGAAATCATCTACATCAGCCCAAAGATCCAAGCGAGAAAAAAATGTTCCCTGATAACTTACAGTAATGCAAATAACCAGAAAACATGTCTTCCAGTAACTTATATAAATCTATGGAAGACTTTCTGAAAATGAACCACTTCCTTTTCCCTTATTTATTTATTTGAATTAATTGCTGGAATTTCATTGCAGGCAGGAAATTAACAGCACTACTACTTAATATTTTAATGTTATTTGTTGTGTATCATTGCTAGTCTCTATATAGGTTGAAATTAATATTCAATCTTCATACAAACCAAATGAACACAGTTTAGGAATTCACTGCCTTAGGGTCAAGTTTCTGTTTCAGGCTCCCGTCCGTAATGAATAACTAATAACTAATACAAAAGCTTGGGACATTACTTTTTAGAAGTAGCACATTACTTGTCACTTTTAAAGCATTAAGTATTACTGTTTATTGTTGCTAATTATTTATAAAATGCATTTTTTAAAAAAGCATGTAAACTTTTGACAATGGCCCCCTCCCCAAAATAACATTTTAGGAGCAATAAATAAACATTGCCCTGAATACTATTGACCATCCTTATAAAATAATAGGGATTACTGAGGTAATGAGTGCGCCTTTGAACCCACAGAAACCAAAACCTGAAGCTACTATCCTTATCCCTGTTATTATTATTTTCGTTGTCATTATTAATCAGGTTACAAAAATGTCACTGTGGCTGATATGAGGTTATGAAATGTAATAATGCCATGGCAAAATATTAAAATAGATTTCTCAAACAGAAAAGAGTAGCACAAAGGAAGGGAAACAATACAACACACACTCAGTCCAGTAAAATGTTTTGGGAAGTTGTTGTTCTTAAAATGTCTTTAGGTGCTTTTAAAAATAAAAACGCCACTTCATATGTGCTCACTCTCAGTGTGTGAGAAAAATTGTGATCCATAATCAATGAACTGAATGTTTTGCTGTAGAGGCCCATTAAAACCTTTTTTACTTCATGAGTAAATTTGTGTCTTTTCCTTGCTGTGAAGAGAGGTAAATGTTCCTCTCCTTACTTGCACATGGAATTAAAACTTGCTTCAACCCCCAAGGTAATGGAAAAGCACAGAGTGATTTCAATAAACATTGACATGGGACATTATGCTTTATAGGGAATAATGAAAATGTTATGGCAAGGAATCAAACCGCCTGCAAACGGACAACGTTGGTGGAACGGTTTCTCACCCATCCCTTTCAAAGGCATGTGACCAGTTTGCTCCCTTCCCAGACAGTCAGACATGCAGTAAAAAGTAACACCAGCCATGAGAATTATAAATGGGGGGAAAGGACATGTCTATAAACAGGGATAAACATCTTTCTCTAAGCAAAGCTGTCAGATCCATTTAAGCCGAGACCTGCATGTGCTTTTCCTCTGGGGCCCCTTTTTCCTGTCTGGGAACCATTGTGGCATTGCATGTCTGCTCCCAAGTGGCTACCACTGAAAGGTTTAGATAAGGCAAAAGGTTGCCCTCAATAGGCATCTAATCCTAGACTTGATCAAAATGGAAAGCTATACCAGTCTGACAAAGAAGGAGGTGCCAGTGGGGAAGTGAGCAGGGGTGGGAAGAAAATGGGGTTTATGTCTGCAGTCCCAGGCTTGCCTTATTTTATCTTCTAGGAAATATCAGTCCCTTCCAATCATCTAATTGCTTTCCTAGGTTTAAATGACATTTTCACAATATTCAGTAACATGGCAGCACTCAACCAACCAAATAGGCAGCTCCTAAGAATCTAAATAGACAGTAGATTTTCAAAATATGCACAGTATACTGTACAAGAATGGTTAAGAATATGCTGCATTCTGAGCTTTTTTTTATTTGATGGTGGTATCTTGGATTAATGTCAGCAGCAGAATCCAACCTGTGCATACTCACATATGTAGTGCTCACTTCAGCAGCACATATACTAAAATTGGAACTATTCATTTGTGTGGACCTGGGGAGGTGTCTAAAGCCAACCAAATCAAATCATTGGTCTGTTTAACTCTGTATCATTTACAAGGACTGGTTGTGTCCCTTCAGGGTTTGAGTCAGGAGTTTTCCCCACCCCTCCTTGAACTAGTCCACGGCTGAACTTATGACCAAATTTGTTCTTCCTCAGAGGCCAAGAGGATACATGTGGGTGTACCTTCACAAGAGAAGATGTCACAAACGATGGCATAAGAAAAACCATAGTGGAGAAGATATACAAGAATTAGCCTGGATCAGAACTGCCACATTTTGGCCTCCAGAACCAGAGGCAGAAAAGGTACTTGCTAGTAGATGCTAGTAGAACTGTGGCCCAAAAATATCTTCCCCAAGCTCTATCCAAAATATACCTAAGTCCATTTTAGGAATTGTTCAAAACTACTGTATTTTTTGCACCATAAGACTCACTTTTTTCCCACAGAACAGGGGTGTGGAAAGTCTGTGCGTCTTATGGAGCGAAAAATACGGTATATCTAGAAATATCTTACTAAGATTCATTTATGTAGCAAAGGATTCACCAAAGCTCAGGATTAGGTTAATCTTAAGGAATGAATGGGTGCTATTGTGTTGAGTCATCGGATATGTAACATATAGTTTGGAATGGAGACTGCAAGGGAAACGATACTACACATTGTGTTTATAATTAGGAAAACATTCTTTCCTGTTGTCAAGATTGCATTCTTCAATCAAATCTCCACCTCCTCCTAATTGATGGTTTGAAGATTCCCTGTTCCAAACAGTGACAAATCTGTGGGCTCTCTATTTACATACCTGAGACAAAAAGACCCCAAGCTTCTTTTTGAAGTTAATTAAAGTTTCAATGGTATTCAAAAATTTCCGGATAAGACCATCTAGATAGGGTGTGACAATAATCTCTAGTACTTCCCTCTGTGATCTTTCTCAGACAGATCTGGAAGGTGCTTGTCCAGCTGGGACAGATAATCAGTAGAGATGGCACTAAAGAATACAGGAAGAGTGCTGGACTTGGTATTGCCTTCTTAGGTGAGTGCTATCAACTACACTTGTGAAGGTCCAAAGATTCCTAATCTCTTGCAACGGAAAGTGGCCAGCTGCCCCCTTCAACCTGAAAGGCGGTCTGGCCATCTTAGGTTCGCAGCATGTGTGTTTGAAATTGTCTACGAGCTCCTGGTTGTTTTGTGTGGAAAACATTAGCTAGCACTCTTTTAAAAAAACACCAGCAACTTGAAAACCACTTTTATATGCCAAAGGCAATATGAAACAACACAGCCAACCTGCTGGAAAGTCACAAGGGATGTAGGAAGCCTGATTTCCCTTGGAGTGGATTTGGAAAAAACAAGGTACTGCCACATCGAAAATCCTGTCTCAGGTGCTTCCCAACTGAACTTCACCTGGTTGTAGGGCATGCATCAAGAGCTGTGTTGAAGATCTCACATTTTTGAAAGTAAAATGTCAGTAGGAAAGTCAATAGGTATTTTGGAGGCTTTCAAATGAGATTTTTATCGTCTCATTCATGGAATTTTACAGGTGATCCAGAAGTTATTGGCTGAAATCCTAAAGCATCGCTCCTCATGTGTAATAATAATGGTGTCAGAAGCAGCAAATTAAAGGCTTCCATTTCAATTTTAGGGGGCACACAGTTTTGTTCACATTGTGTGCAAGTTGTATGACCCCCAAAACAGCTTTAATCAGCAGCAATTAGCCCTTTCCACTAGCTGCCCTTGCATGCCTGTTGTATGACTTGGTGTGCAACTGAAAGTGAGAGAATTTATTAATTCATGAGAATTTGCTGTTGTGATTTGTGTAATTATTGTTTTTACATGCTGTTAAGTGACCTCCGATTTATGGCAACCCTATTAATGACTAATCTTCAAAATGTCCTGTTCTCCACAAACAGGCTCAGCTCAAACTCAAGCTTGTGGGTTCCTTTAGGGAGGCTATCAATCTCATATTTGGTCTTCCTCTTTTCCTGTTGCCTCCCCCCTTTCCCAACGTTATTGTCTTCTTCAGAAAATCTTGCCTTCTCACAATTGTCAAAAGTAATACAGTCTCAGTTTCATCATTTTTGCCTCCAGATATAGTTCAGGCTTGATCTCCTCTTGGACCCACTTGTTCATCTTTCTGGCAGTCCAGGTATCTGCAACATTCTCCTCCAGCACCATATTTCAAATGAATCAATTTTCTTCCTTTCAGCTTTCTTACTGTCCAACCTTCACACCTGCACATGGTGATCAGGAATATAAGAGCATGAATTATCTTGGTCTTAGTCTCCGATGACACATCCTTACACTTGACAGTCTTTTCTAATTCCTTCACTGCTGTACTTCCATCTCGGTCTTCTAATTTCTTGGCTGCAGTCTCCATTTGGATTGATGATTGAATCAGAATCTTTCACTATTTCAGTTTCTTCATTGTCTACATTAAATCTATGTAGTTTTTGTGTTGTGATTTTTGTCTTCTTCATGTTCAACCACAGTTCTGCTTTGGCACTTCCCTCTTCCACTTTCACTAAAAGCTGGTTCAAGTCATTGCTGCTTTCTGTCACTAAGATGGTGTCACCTGCATAAATGATTGATGTTTCTTCCATAAATTTTCATTCCTCCTTCATCTGAATCTATGTTCTGCATGGAGATTGAACAGATGGGGATAAAATGCATGCTTGTCTGACACCTGTGTCTACAGAAAACCATTCTGACTCTGCATATTCTGTCCTAATGGTAGATTCTTGTCTAGGTTATGCAGTAGGACAATCAAATGTAGAGGCAAACGCATTTATTTCAGATCCATAGAGTGCCTCATGATCCACATAGTCAAAGGCTTTGCTGTAGACTGATCTTCTTCTGAAATTCTTTGGTGTGCTCCATTACTTTTAATATGATATTGAGTGCTTCTTCCATTTTGGAATCCAGTTTGAACATTAGACATGTTTTGCTCCATATAAGATAAAAGCCTTTGATGCAACACTTTGAGCATTACTATGACATTTGCTTGTATGGGAAGATTTGTGCAATTATACTGGCATAAATCAACAGTAGGAATCCCTGCCAACATGTTTAGGATACAGGGAGCAGTAAAGTGAAGTGTACTTCTAGTCCAAGATCTAAGATATGAGAAAAAGCTTGTCCCTAACCCTCTCAGAAATGCCTCTTCCCCTTTCTGTGCTTTCTCTCACTCTCTCTTTCTTTTTTCTGTTATCACCAGTGTTGATACAGGCACACAGAAGGCTGATTTATCAATGAGTTCTGCTGTTGGTCCATCTACATTAGTATTGCTCACACAGACTGGCTGTGGGTCTTCAGGGTTTCAGGCAGGAGCATTTGAAGCCCTTCCTTGAGATATGCTGGAGATTGAGCTTGGGGTATTTTGCATGCAAAGCAAATACTCTGTTAGTGAACTCCTTTGCCTTTACAGGCAATTGTCAGGTCCCAACGCCCCAGGCAGAACCCATTCCTCATGTTTGCTTTATCTCAGTCAAACATTTTTCCTAGGTTTCTGAAGAGCCTAGGCAAGTGTCTGGGATCCTCTGTTTTAATTTCCCACAATATTTCTGATGTTATGTCTCTCAAGGGCATTCTCATAATTTAGACTCTCACTGCTATCTGCTAATAAGTAAACCTTTTAAGGGGTCCCATCAACACAAGTAGACACCTTGCCAAGGACCTCCATTAATTAGAAGTACTTAAAGTTCTCTACATAAAGTCAGAGGCCTGCTTACTTCAGGGTCCCATCTCTCCACACTAGGAATATGAAAAATAGTCGCTAAATTCCTTGTCTTTTTCAGCTTAGGCGATCTCAACATGATGGTAAACCACATCAAGGAATTTACAAGCTCTACAAGATTCCACCCCTGCAGTACATGAATGAGACAAGAAGCATTTACCCCCATGAAGGTTTCTACAATTCGACAAACGTCTCTGTGACAGAATGCACAAAACTAGTGTCCTTTCTAAGATGCAAACAAATGTACACAGCAAGCAAAGGCGGACTGGCTAATTAAAAAGGCAAGGAAACCCATCCAGCCCATGCCATAACGTAGTAGCTATTCTGGCTTTGAGGAATTTACCAGTTACTTCAATTTGTGCAAAAACTTTTCTCACCAATGCAAGAAAACTTGTTGACAGTATCAGAAAATATCTGTTATAGTTGAGACCATTTTTGCAGTTTCTCCCCCAACAAGAAAGAATTTCTGTCCCTATTCCACAAAATCAAATATTTGAAACAGTTTCTTGTCTCTGGGAATAACACTTCTTCCCCATCCGCACGTCTTCTTCACTGTCAACAGTATTTCTACACAGAATAGGTATGTATTACTTCTTTTCAGAGAATAGTTATTTTCTCTTGTTGCTCTCCTCAGGATGCCCAGAAAAGACAAGAGGAACACTATAATGACAAGAAGCAGTTTTCACAGACTCTGTGTTAAAATACCATGTGCAAATTTCAAGAATACTTAATTGCTGTTGTTTTGTTAACAAGAACAATGAATTTCTGAGCAGTAAATGTGCAGACGCATATACAATTTTTATCAGCCATAAATTATGTTCCTTAGAATTTGTTAGAGTTAGCAAATAGGCTGTCATATCATCATTTGTGGGAAGAATGGCAAAGTCAGGTCTCTCACTGGTCTGCTGACTCAGTACGTTCCCTGACCTTTGTCTGTAGTTTTAGTTAACGCTCTGTCAGTCTTCTGGAAATGTCTTTTGGACAAAAAATTGGAAACGTGACTTGCACAGACTCATAGAAGACAGTATTGTGTGGTCATGTTTTGTCAGCATGCTGTAGTATATGAAAGAACCTCATGAGCTGTGGTGAATAAACTTCATCAACTGGCAGGCAGTTTGCAGAAAGCAGTTCATTATTACACAAGTGCAATTGAGGCCATTTAAGGATAGGAACATTATTCATGGAGCTTCCTATTGAGACCAGATGGCTTGAATGTATTTATCAATTATTAAATGCACAAATTACGTGAGGGAAAGGCTCTGAAACGGACAACAGTATGAACAGCAGTTTCAGAAATGAATGAAAACTGGCCTTCAGGTCCTTGAATATCTAATGTAATGCTGGGGAAACTTAGCTAAAAGTATTCTAAAAGTCAAATAAGAATTCTGAAATCATGCCAGATTAGTGGAAACAGTTGGCCAGTGTTTGCTATGGAAGCAGTAAAGATGAGTCTTACTTCTGGTTTCTATCAGTATTGCATTTTTCCCAGTTTAAGATTCAGATGAAAAAGTTTTGTGTCAGTTTGCAACTTAATGGAAAAAATCCACACAAAAATCTGTCTCTGTGTTAGTTTATATTTTCCCATATGTACTAATTTTGTATGCATCTTTGTAATGCAATGCCATTTTTGTGATTTTTTTTTCACCAACATGCACATTTTTGTGCCCACTTTCCAAAAATATACACATTTTCCCTTACAAATGTTTACCTTAGAGACTCCATTGAAAAATTCTGAAAAGTGTGCCAAGAGATACAGTAGTTGCATTCCGGTTCAAATATTATTCAGGAAATGCAATAAGTTTTGTAAGTTTTTAATCAAAATCACATAGAACAAATCTCTTTCCCATGCCTCACTGCATAAAAGATTTCACTGTTAGCGAAGCAAGGATATAGACTTATTGTGCTGGGTCTAATTCCTCGGTTAGGGATATGTCATGTTTTCACTCGAATGTATAAAACCGGAGCAAATCAGAGACACTCATGAGATTCTAGGGTGGTTCAGGAGTGGGATAAAGAGCCTCTGGTCATTGCTGGAGTGGAGCAATACATTTAGGCATCTTTTGTTTTCTGTTGAGCATTTAAACATTTTAAAGGAAGCTCAGTTATTTGAATTGAGAAAAAGGGAAATTAGAAGCTGCTGACACCAAAGAAGAAGATGACAACTGACATCTGAACACCCCAATAAGACCCACGATTTCCCTTGGACACTCCAACATCTGAAGTACTAGCGAGGGCTTATGAGATCACTGAGAGGGGCACCTCACACTATAAATATATATATCCACTTGTAACAGTTTCACCAGTAATTTTGAAGAATTGCAGGGCAAAGTTCAGCAATTCTGTGGTTCATCTGCCTTTGCATTCTAGAATATTCCTCTCCCCCTTCTTATTCTCAGCTTAGTTTTACCTAATACACTATCAATTGCATGCTCCAGTCTTAACCACTCACTTCTTTTTTTCCCTTAACAGTCAATCAGATGGCAGCGGCTATCTTCAAAAACAAAGGACAAACTATCACATTGGGACTCATTGTGGAAGGATGTTTAGTGCATTGGCTTTGAGTGGCTACATCACAATGATTTGGACATTAGGATCTGTCTTTCCTCTGCCCTGGCCACTTATTTCTTCCCGTTTTAAAAACTTGATGTCATATTGGTGCAAATACCACTGTCTGCTGGCCTTTCTGCCACAAGATGTCTAGGAAGTCAGCCTTCCTCTGCATAACAGGAATGGGGACTTGCAACTCAAGACTTCCTGTCAAGTTGGACTTAGGTTGCATCTGTGACTTGACTTGAACTCAACTTGGGAGTTTCTGGGTGTGGCATTCAGCTCTGCTCTCACCTGTCCATCACAGCTGGGCAGGGGAACCTTAGCCAATGAGAGGATGGAGGGTGGTGCAGAAGTGGGAGGAGCTGGGTTATATAAGGTGTGTGTGATGTGGAGAAGAGGAGATTGAGTTTGGAAGATGAGTGATTAGAGAGACTGATAGAGAGTGAGAAAGAGCCTGTCAGTGAGGGAAAAGTCTGTGTGAGCTAGTGTCTGAGAAACAGTGATTGACTAATTGATTTAAACCTGTGATTTACTCCTTTTATTTTGTGTAATCAATAAACACTTTATTTGTTTTGAAAGAAACACTTGTCCTTTTGATTTTAAGGATAGGTTGGTGGCAGCAGTTTTGGTGAGAGGTAGTGAGCACTCTTAGAGGCCTGGATTGGTAGAGGCTTGAGAGTGGCCTGCTACACTGGGGCAACTTGAGATTTGACTCATGACTTGGATCCATTTGTCCGAGTTGCATTGTCAGGTCCCTATGGCCCCCCGCACTCCCACCAGTCTACTTGCTACCATTGCCACCATCTTCAAATGCAGCACACCAGAGGGCTTTTCATTAGTGACATTCTAACCTGCTGTACTCCGAGGGCAAGTCTTCTGACCTGCCTCTTCCTGTAAGTTGCCCTGATGGTGCTCTAGCATGCCATAGAGCACCATCACAGTGACTTACAAGAAGAGGCAGGTTGGAGGACCTGTCCTCGGAGTACAGCAGGCTAGAGTGTCACTATGAAAAATCCTCTGCCTTCCTCCTGCTTCAGTGGGCCTGTCTGTGCTGGCCTATCAGCTGGTCTGCACATGTGTCAGGGGAGGCACTGACCTGGCTCCCGAATGGAGGCAGCAGCAATAGGTAGGCAGATGGCAGTGGGGCCGGGCACCCAAGTCTTTGGTCCCAAGCCTTGAGGGCAGTGCAAGCGACTTGGGACTTGGGACCAATGACTCAGACCTGGACTTGGGACTTGGGCCCCGAGACACAGACTTGGACTTGAGACTTGGGTCCCAAGACTTGCCTCCTTTCCTCCAGCTTCCTTGCACAGGATTTGAGGACATGTGCGAGCCTGAAAAGGATACTTGGAGATGAGTAACCTTAAAGATTTGCCTGTGCAGGATTTGGGGGCTAAGCAAAAAGACACAATTCTTTCTTTCTTTCCTGGCTCAAACAGAAACATAACCTTGGAGGTGACTTGATCCCAGAACTTAGAAGTTACATGTCCCATGATAGTTCACTCCACTCAATATTTAAGCTCTACCTTGTCCCCAGAATAGAAGGCTCTGTGCAGCCCTCCACCACCATCTGCAGATCTTAGCCGTATGCATCTCCCCATTTGTGAGATTAAAAAACCCCAACAAATACCATGGTCTCACACAAATCAGGGAATGGTTGGAATGTCTCCTAAAGGGTACATGGCAGGGCAGCCTTGCTTTCTGTGCCCTTTATTTGGGCAGGAATTGGGTTACAGGGCTTGCACACATCCCCGACTTGAAATATGTGTGGATGGGTTATCCTACAATGCTATATTCACATACCTTAAAATAAGCCTTATTCACTTGCATTTGTTTCATTAGCATGTACAGGTTTACACTGTGAGATAACCAGAGGTGTACTTTGCAGATGTAACTGCTTGTTGCTTCTGTTAGCGAAAAGTTAAGCTACTTCAAAGTCATCTTCAAGCTTCAGCTTTCCCATCTCTGAAGCCAAAGACAAGGAATACAGTCTATCTTAGAGTTTACTAGTTGCCAGATATATTCATGTTAAGGGGCAGGGGGAATAAAGAGGGGGAAGAAAACTCTCTTTTGATTGCTATAATTGCAGCCACATTCCTGCGGTAAACTCAAACGCTAGGACAGCTTGCCTGAAACAATGTTTCCTTCATACAGAAGAAGTCAGTTGACTGAGTTGTTATGTCTAAAGGGTGTGCAAATACCATCCAATTGAATCTGTTCAGATTTATTTGTTTTACAAATGGCAACCAATTCACTTTGAACTGATTTGTAGCCTGTCCAATTAGATACGCAACTGGATATTTAAAAGTATTGATGCATATTTGTATTTGTCTAAATAATGAAAAAAAATCAGGCAGAAATAAAGAGCAGTGTCCTGGGATAGCGGAGAAGTACTCAGTGCCATCAACTACTGCTTGACCTTCAGTATGCAGACAAAGCTCACACAAATTTCCTTCCTTCCTTCCTTCCTTCCTTCCTTCCTTCCTTCCTTCCTTCCTTCCTTCCTTCCTTCCT